AAAAAAAACAGATAATCAAATTTTCTAGAGAAACCAGTTACAAGCTTGCAAATCGAGCTATATTAGTGATCCAGCTACTTAAGTTTATCAAGCTTGAGGTTGATTTTGAGTTCCGTAAGTTTATCAAGTTCAATAAAGACTCGCAAGTAGCTTGACTTAAGTTTATCAAGATTGCTAACCGAGGCTTTTTTTTTTCCTGCCCAAGATTCCTAATCGAGTTGAACTCAAGCTCTCGGTGAAAGTACCTTTCTTTTGAAAAATTGTTATTATTATCTAGGCAAAACATGTAAATTAACCCCTCAACTCGTTGTGTGGTAGTAGATCAATCCCTCAAGTTAGTTTACGCACAAAAGAACTCCCCAACTCATCTTCGGTGGCAAATCAGCCCCTCTGTGTAAGATGATGTCATTAATTTGTTAAAACTTAATGTTTTGCTTATCACGCCCTGCTTTGCATGTGACCTGGATTTTTTTTTTTTTTCTGAGATGGATGCTTTGTTGCATGCTTCAGCAGAGTAACTTTGACTTGGGAAAATCAAAACCCGAGAAGGAGAATCGAAGATGGAAAAAGGAGAACAAGCAGCGAATTGGAGCGAGGGGGTGGAGGATCTGGTTGCGTCAGGAGACATGCAGAGTGCTCTCTCCTTCCTCGAGAACCTAATTTCCAAACTCCAAGTCCCTGATGACTCTGCCAAAATGACGGCGTTGGATCTCCAATTGGCTTCCACTCTCTGCGACTTGGCCAATCTTTACTCCTTTATAGGCTTCTCTCTCAAGTCTGACGAGTTACACACTCACGCATCTCTCATCAGAGAACGCTCTCAGTCTTCTTGGTATTGTCTCCTAGTCCTTCCTTTTATTCCTATCTTGTTTGGTTTCTAAGAAAAAAAGAGGATTTTGAAGGTTTTAGAGAAGCTCTGGAAGATGTATTCTTTACCTTTAATTTTGATTTTCCACACTGGATTTGATTTCAGTGAGATAAAGAATGATTCGAAGGAAGATTACTTGTTGTGCCCAAGCATTGGCATACTCTGTAGATGCTGCTCCTCTGTTGCCTGAGCTGAAATTATCAATGTACCGAACATAGTGTTGCTCCAAAGAACAGTGGTTCCGCCAAATGTGACACAAACACCCTCCTCCGTCTTCCATCTCTTGCAAAACCGGACCTCATCAATTAGATAAAAATGCATATCAAACAATGTCCAAGGAGAAGAGATGTATTCTAATCTTTTGCCTGATGATTAAGAGTTGAACTCGATGAATTAGTTTAATTTGTGGCTAATTTTTGGGCGATCTTTGAAGGGAGGAGCTGAATTGAAGAAAGATTGGATTTGGTCGTCGGTGTTATTAATTCATTAAAATGGAATCCATTTTCAACTCCTTGCTGGATTCAAAAGGAAACCCTACCCTAGCCATTGAAAAATAAACTGGAAATAAAACAAGAGACTTGAAAAGGGGAAAAAGTGAGAAACGCAGCGTTGCATGGCATTCACCGTGGGTCAGGGTGTGAGCCGTTGGATTGACGAGGACGTGGAGAGATGGAGGGTCGATATGAGGGGAGTTTGTGTTTGTTCTGGAAGGGATGGAAGGACAAGGAAGATGAGAAAAACGGATAGGGGAGCTGTGCCAGCTTGACTTTCTCCCCTTTTCTGACGCATGTGCATAAAATATCAAGGCAATTAGATAATATCAAGGATGATGATATTTTGATGAAGCGTCCAACAAAGCAGACATCACAAAAAAATAAAATAAATGCAAGCCAGATGCAGAGTAGGGCTTGATGAGTAGAACGTTAAGTTTTAACGGATTGATGACATCATGTTACACAGAAGGGCTAATTGGCCACCAAAGA